GCTGTCGGCCCCCTCGTCCAGCGAGATGGTCTGCGAGCCCCCCACGTTGCGGTCCCCGGCCCCCTGGTCGCTCAGCTTGGTGTAGGTGGAGCTGCGGGTGAGGGATCGCGCTGGGGCGCCCCCGGCTGACTCGCCAGCCCCCTCCTCCTTCAGCGCCCCGTTCTGCGCCACCTCCATGCTGTGCAGCAGCGTCTCCAGCTTCTTGTTCTGGATGTTGATGTCTACGAAATACTTCTGGAGGCCCTTGTCCTTCTCCAGCAGGTTGTTCTTCACCGTGTCGATGACCTGCTTCAGCTGCTTGATCTCCTTGCGGGCCTCCTTCAGCGCCAGCTGGGCCTCCACGCGGTGGCACTCCTCCTCGATCCAGTCCTCCTGCATTCGGGACAGCTGTGTCTTCAGGTCCTCGATCTCAGCATCCCTGTGGAGACGGGAGGGCACCGCCACAGCGCTGAGGGGCAGCCCTGTCCTCGTGTGCCCAGCACAGAGTTGGAACCTGATCACCCAGTAACATTCATGACTGGGAACCAGGGATAGATCAAGTGGCTTGGGGACCTTCAGGATCAATGTTCAGGGATCCCTAGGAATGATGCTCAGGGACCCTTGTGAGTGATGCTGAGGGACCCCCAGGACTGATACTTGGGAAATCTCAAGATTGATGCTTCGGGTCCCTCAGGAGAGATGCTCAGGGACCCTCAGGAGTGATGCTCAGGACCCTGGGGAGTGACACTTGGGGACCCTCGGGATTGATGCTCAGGGACCCCCAGGAGTGATACTTGAGGACCCTCAGAAGACATGCTCCGGGATCCCCAGGAGCAATGCCCAGGAACCCTCAGGACTGATGCTCACGGATCCCTGGGAGTGATGCTCAGGGATCCCCTGGGAGTGATGCTTGGGGATCCCTGGAAGTGATGCACAGCCTTCTCCTGGAGGGGCTGCAGCACTCAGGGCTCCCGAGGGCTGCGTGGGGGTGGGCAGGTGCCCCGGGCGGGTGCGTGGCAGCTGGCACGCCGGCGAGGACGTGCCTAAGCCTGAGAGGAGCAGATGGGGATTAGCCACCCTCTGACGCTGAAATTCAGCAAAAGCACGGCAGGGACTTAACCGGGACACAGGGGAGAGCACAGCCACCACAGGTGGGACGTGGGGCTCCACAGCCCCTGAATCTGCAGCTCCCGGCTTGGATGGGCAGCAGTGCCACATCCCACACGCCTGCAATGCCGTGGTACAGGTGACCCTGGTGCCTGGGCATGAGCCCAAGGATAAGATGCCTTGCTGGGAACCAAGACCCTCAGAAGGACCAGTCCCAGACAGGAGATGCCAGAGTAGATGGTGATGGCTGGTGCCGGGACAATTCCCAGTGCCTCCTGTGCCAGGGTGTCTGTGCCTGCTGTTCCCGTGCTCACCTGTCCTGCAGCCGCTCCTGTGTGTCCTTCAGCCGAGCTTTCAGGTGCCGGATGCAGACCTCCTTCTGCTGCAGGGGTGTCAGGTACTGCTCCGGCGTTGGTGGCTTTATCCCATGGTTGTCACTGCAGAGGTTGTACTTGGACGAGCGCCTGCAGGGACATGGATGTCACCCACTGCCAGTGCCAGCACCTGCACTGGCTCGGCCCAGGGGTCCCAGGGGAGATGTTTGCTCTTGGGGTACATTCTCACAGCACATCCCAAAGGAGCTCTGAGAGCAGGAGGGACAGGGTGGGTGCCTAAGGGTGCTGTGCCACTGGCAGGAGGGGCAGGGTAGGTGCCTAAGGGTGCTGTGCCACTGACGGGAGGGTGGGTGTAGTTCCTGGATACACCAGTGCTGCTGGTGGGCACTGAGCCCTCTGCAGAGCTGGGGACTTCACTGGGGCATGAGCAGAGCCAGGAGCAGGTGGGCACTGTGTGCAGGTTTCTGTGTGCCCAGAGTGAGCTTCCCAGGAACGGCTGATGTGGATGAAGACTCCAGGGTGGGATCAGCCCTACTAGAGATGGAGGCAGAGAATGGAAGGGTTTGTGATGGAGCAGGTCTGATAATGGTGGCTGTCCTGCCCACGGAGAACAAGCTAGGGCATCCAGCAGCTGCTCCAGGGAAGGCCAGTGGCATGTCCAGACCCTCCTTGTGTCGCCACTGGCACTGGGGTGGATGAGGTGACATCTCTGGCCCAAAGCTTAGGGCAGTGCAGAGAGCAGGGGCTGGCTAGGGACAGGGCTACATGTCCGGGCTGGGAGGCACATGGAAAGCTGGGAACAGCACATATAGCTCCTGCATGGCAGCAGTGGGACCAAACCCCTGTGCATGGCAGCAGGGTTGTGGAATTCCCTGTGCATGGTAGGGGGTGTCCCAAAGCCCCCATGCACGGCAGCCAGCAGCCCAGCAGCCTTTGGTCTGGGACACAAGTATCAGGTTAGAAGCACCCAGGCAGGACTGTGGCCTTGGCAGCAGAACAGCCACTGCCCCCAGCTGCAGCACTCATGGGCTCCGATCACCATATCGCCCTCAGGGCCCTGAGATTCTCCCAGATTGATGCTGGGGGATGGCTGCAGACAGGTGGGAGATGAGCCTCACTCTCTGGAGCAGTGCACTACAGGCTGCTGTGCCAGTGGCACTGGGGCCAGTGCCCATCCCACAGCTCAGTGCCCACCCCACAGCTGTTTGTGCCCCAAGCACCCCAGGAGCTCCCTGCTGAGAAGACAGGGTGCCACCAACTCTTGCCAAACCTTTGCCAGGCAACACGAGGGGATGGAAACGAAGCTCTTGCCCTTGTGCCTTTGGTCTGGAAGGATCCGGGTGCTCCGTGGAGTGCAGAAGCGGCAGGAGCGAGCGAGCAGCGGG